TGGCAGTTCCACCACGAGGTGGGGAAGGCCATCTCCCGGACCGACATAGAGAAGCTGCCGCCGCCCCTCAACTGCCCCATGTTCACGGGCAACGCGTACATCGTGGTGACACGGGGCTTCGTGCGGCACCTCTTCGAGAACCCCACGGCACAGAAGTTCCTCGAGTGGTCCAAGGACACCTACAGCCCTGACGAGCACGTGTGGGCCACCCTGAACCGCATGCCGGGCGTGCCGGGGGCCGTGCCCCACAACGACAAATTCCAGCTATCGGACATGAACGCCCTTCCCCGCCTGGTCAAGTGGGCGTACCTGGAGGGCGATCCCAGCAAGGGCGCGCCGTACCCGCCCTGCACCGGCCGCCACCAGCGCTCCGTCTGCATCTACGGGGCGGGCGACTTGCCCTGGATGCTGCAGCAGCACCATCTCTTGGCCAACAAGTTCGACCCCGAGGTGGACGATGCCGCCATCCTGTGCCTCGAGGAGCACCTGCGCCACAGGGCCCTCTACGGCCGCGGGCTCTGAGGGGACCCGCGGGACCCCCGCCAGCACTGCCGCCCTCCCGGGCCAGCACTGCCACTCTCCTGGGCGAGCCCCGCCGAGGGCGCCGCGGGGACACCGGGAGGGGATCCCTCTGATGCCCCCAATCCCTGCTGGGCACGGACCTCGGGGACAGCGAGAGGGGATCCCCCTGCTCCCCCCGAGCCCTGCCGGGCGCGCACCTCGGCGGGCCCCGAGGGAAGCGCCGCGGTGACCGCGCAGGGCCGGCCGGGGCTCAGCTCTGCCCCCGCCCCGCGGCTCTCGCCGCCCCTCCTCGCACAGACCGGCTGCAGGAGCGCGCGGGGCGTTTTTCCTTCCCTTGCCGGGCTCTGTTCGCAGAAGTGACCCCAGGGCTGCTGCTCGTACCCGGGCAGGGCCGGGGCACGTCCTCCTGCCAGGAGCGGAGCTGAAAGGGGGATTAATTTGCTTTTCCACGAAGCACCTGCAGCTCCCGCCCGCCCCTGGCACCCGGGCTGCTGCTCGTGCCCCACTTCAAGCCTTGACTCTGTCAATAGCCATTAAAAACACCAGCCTTCAATAAAATCAAATAGATACTGAAACAGATGGCGTTTCGGTATTCTGTGTCCTGTGGTTCCCTGAGAACGGTCGTGCTCCCGGGCAGAGCCATTAAACCAGTTAACCCTTCAGCACCCCACTTCTCCGTGGGAGAGGGATGCTCATGTGCTCAAAGTGTGCAAACCTACATTGTTCCAATAGCTTCATCTCTCTTTTCCCCTCCCCCCCAGGGTATTTTTGTGGTATTTTGGCAATGTAATTATCATATCCAGTAGTAGATGTGGCCATTTACATGACCAAACCAATCATCCAACACAGTTTTCTTAAGTTTCTAGAAGCCGAAAGATTTGTGAACTTCTGTATTTCACCCACGTGTATTTTTCTCACCTTCTTATACTAAAGCTTGCCACTTTCCATGAATCCAACAGCTTCTCACTACCTAAGGGAATATGCTGAGGGATTAATTCCATTGTCTTTATACTACAAAAAAACTGGTAATTTTTCTTTCAGTAAACATACTCACCTTTATAAATTTAAGGTCTATGGTGGAGAATTATCGTTATACAAAGAATATCCAAAGCAATTCCATAGCACCAGGCTACATTTAAATGAAGTTAGGACTTCAATCACACAGATCTTCAAAACATTGATTTAAATAGGAGGAGAAGACAAAATAACTAAACTTGAAAAGGTGTGTCATTGCAATTTTGTTAGACATTTTAAAGTGAACTTGGTTGTAAAGTAGTGATTTTTAAAATGCCATGATGATTTCACAGCAAACATTATTGGCAAGAACTCCAAGTACTGATAAGGAAAGTTCTCAAATATAAACACTTGAGGTATCATTGGGCATTTGTTTATTCAGAAAGAGGAAATACAGTAATAGGATTGCTAGTCCCAGGGGGGAACTCTTTCCAATTTATGTAAGCAGGCATTCGCTACAGAGATTACAGCTTTATCCTGACAGTGACACAGAAAATTCAAAAATGGTTTCAGCAGCAAGTTCAACACTACATCTCTCCATGTCTAGTACATTCTTTTAGAACAAACAGAACTTCTTTGCCTACTCAGGGTAAGAACTCAAGTCTCCCAGCATAGCAGACTGCATCTAATCCCTGCTGCCTAATCCGATTTTGCTTGTTGGAGCTCTTTCACTTACTTTAAATTAACACATATTAGCTCAAAATGGTAAACTACTGCCAGTGGGTTCCTTGGGGGACTGGGATATGTTCAAGTTTCTGGACTAAATCAGGCAGAGCAGGGTCCCTGTGTTTCTAACTATAGCAAAGTGTTGCCTTTTCCCCTTGGAAAATGGAAAAAAGAGGTGCACATTCATGGAGACAAAAAAAAAAATCCCCATACTTAGAGTTCTAAGGAATTGCATCAAAACCAGACCCATCCGTGAAATGGATGTCTGTAAGAAGATCTAAACAATTTATTTCTCAAAGAACCTTCTACAAAGGTGTAGCCTGAAATAGTGAAAGATTATTGAATGAGGGACCTCTCTATTATTTTGAAAATGTATGTAAGATATATACTTGCAAAGTTACTTACAGATTTGTTGTCATTTTTATCCCCTTCACTTTGTAAATATGTTTAACTTCTTCAGCTCAGAAACATGACGTATTGCTTGTATACACTGTTATAATAACAGTGTTTCATCTACTATTGACAGACACTTCCCTGACACAAAAATGTTACAGATGGAGAGACAGAGACAGGTATTTAGATCTGGGGGAGGGGAGGAGGTGCCACTTCAAATCTGTTCTATGGTCACATCCAATTTCCTTGATCCAAAGAAAATTTCCTGGTTTCGAGGGTGTTATTACTCACAATTCATCTCAGATGATTTGGCTGCAAAAACAAAGGCCATCTTGTGCAAATTTATTTTCAACTCACCTCCTTTTAGTAGGGACTTAATTTCTTCTGAAAGAACAAGCCAACTCCCAAATTCTAGAGGTGAACTAAGACAAAAAGATTCTTACAAAGGACTGTTCTCAGCATTTCCTCTTCCAAAGACATTAGAAATGTCAGATTCATGAGTGCAGTCAGATGTCAAATCAGTGATACAGAAAAGTAAAAAAATATTTGTCTGCTTAACATTACAAATGGCAATAAAAAATACGACTCATCTCTAATAGAGAACTTTGCATTCCAGAGATCTCAAAGTATCTTAGGAATAAGATATCTGGCATCTCAGAAAGTTTGCAACAGAGCACGGAGAAATCACGTAACTTGCCATGGTTGGTTGCAGAGCTGAAAAAAGAATAAACTTGCAATAGAGTAGGACCAGCTCTAGCCCAAGGTAGCACTAGCACATCAGATTACAGGGTCACCTCCAAAACCAGCTTAAACCCCATATGAACTTCATCAGTGAAATAATGGGGTGTCCAAATTGGAAATACAGTCCTATCAGAAATATTAGCTTTGTCTAGTGAAAGTCTAATGCTTCTGTCTACAACTGTTAACCAACAACCTGTACTTTAAATAAACCCCCAGTTGTTTAGGGAGGAACAACTCTATGTGAGCTCCATCTGGCTTAATACATATTGACATAGCAGGTCCACAAACAGCTCTTTTTAACTCTAGTTAGGAGGCTCTCTTTCCTTCTTGCTTTGGATTTCTTTCATATTCTACATGATTATCTCTGGGATGTCCTATAATAAAAAGGTGGGTCAGTTAAAATGAATTCAGAGGAAAATAGGTAATAAATTCAGAAGAAATGAGAAGCAAACACAAATAATATGAACAAAATACCAGTAAAGTGTTTGCAGTCATGAGCAAAACTGATTCAGGAAGCAGTGTTAGGGTGTCTTTTTTCTTGCCATTAGAGTGACCATAAAACACTAACAAAACTCTCAGTGAACTATTTTCCACTTCTCCTACTTTTCTCCCCACCCTGAAGCTTCAGACTTCAGAAAAGCAAAACCAAGTCAGTAGTACTTTAACTGAAATCCTCCCTCCTAAGCTGCTGAGACCCTTAAACGCAGTATCTGTGCTCCAGATTGTAACTTCAGTCTGCCTCACTGTGCCAAGTCATTGTGCAAAAGTACATAATGATCCTGATTAAACTCGTCTTCTGGAAATTCATCATAAATCCTTCCCGCTCTCCCTTTACTGTGTGTCTGTGATAATACCTGAAGGCAGGTATTAACAGCCCTGCCTGAGCAAACAGCTTACACCAGGGAACATCCTGGTTTGCACACCTATGAAATGGACAAAATCCTTTTTCTTGGAAACCATGTTTAAACAGGAGGTCACCCACGGCCCCTCCTTATCCTTCCCTTTTCTTCACTTTCCTTTAGTTAATTTACTTTCTAAATAGAAACATCCATTCCAGCTCAACATCAAGGTGTAAAGGTTTATCTTTTACTTTCTTGCTGCTGCTGAGAAGTGGAAGCAACTTTCTTGAAGAAAATCAACAAAATAAATGAATAAACAAATCAGTCCATAACACACAGGCAAAGAAGAACCAAATAGGCAGCAGCAAATATGCTGGTACTGTAGCCAGTGAGATGATTTGTGCTCTGCTGGGTATTACAATAGCTTAGAACAACAAAGTGCAGTTCACACTTTCAGGTGTAAGTTCAACAAATCTTCCAGGACCACAAAGGACATTAATCATATGAACTTGGCAGGATTAGCTGAAATTCAAACAAAAAAATAGCAAGTGGCAAGGAAGTTATGGAGAGCAAAGCAACAAAAAGCAGAAAGAACACTGACAGCAGATTCCATTAACTTCCCTTTGCTCCCCCCTCCTTCAGTGAACTGAAACAACCTCCACATAAGGAACAGATCCGGGACCTGGACAAACACCATCCAAGAAACAACGTCAGAGCCAAAGAGATTGTGTGCTACCAAGTTAATGTCAGAACTTAGAAAATCTGGGGAAACTATATTATATTAATGATTGTTTTTAAACAACGTTTTCCAATGATGACTCTTTCAAAAGTTTTTAAATAAAAGTTTATTACAGAAATTATTTTGAACAAAAAAGGCAACAGTATCTGTTGTAATTTAAAAAAAAAGTAATGTTGTATTCATGCCCTATAAAGTGAACCGAAGAAATGCTACAGGTATTTCTTCTGCTGTCATTCTGTGACACTCTCTAGTATGGATTAACTCACATCTGCACCACAAGAATTCAGGATGAACAGTCTCTTTCCATGCTTCTCTCCAGAAAGTGCTGCATATTAACAGAAAATATTGCAGACGACCCACAGTTCTGTTCATTCTGCAGTATTGGAACCAGTGTCTAGGAAAGAAAAAAGAGAATGAGACTAATACATACCCCCACTGAGTATGAAGAGAACCAACAGCATGTCTAATACCTTCCCCAAGTTCAAAAGCATTCTCCAGGCATTTTAGAACCTGTTCTGCCCCTCCCCAACTTCCCCCACTGCCCTCACTGTCCTGCATGAACTGCTTGTGCTGCTTCCCCTGGGTCAGCCCAGCACACAACTCCAGGGCTGTGCACACACACCATTTGCTATGAACACATTCAAATACTAAAAGCTTTGCTCTAACTTGTAGTGATACACAAACACTTCACTGCAGTCAGCCACAGGCACATCTGCTCATGATCTACTAAAGAGAAAGGCTTTTGCACACCCAGCAGCACAAGCTCTGATGGAGTGTGGGCTAGAGCTTAGTCTGCACTTTGAAATAGGTGCAAGAATGAGCATGATCTTCATAAACCAACTGAGAGCAACTCTCTGTTCTGAGCTTTTGTCAGAACCACCAATTAACACCAGTGCAACTTCTAATAATATACTGTTTTTAGAGCTATGGAAAAGGTATGTCACTCCAAAATGGAGAATGACAAGGCAGTGTTTACTATGTTCCTTCAGCAGGACAACCTCTCGTGGGAAAAAAAACCCTGTAATGTTAATAGCAACCTTAAGTCAGCCAGTTCTTTAAATCTTATCTGCACACTTTATCAAGAGTGAGCAGGATTAATACTTGGAAAGTAAGGTTTCTTCCACTAGCTATAAGTACACAAAAAAAAAAGGTAGGATTTTATGCTTGGCTGAGACCAGAAGTTGAGAAAACAATAAATTCTGTCAGCTCTTTAGAACTACAACTTGAAGTGATTATTGTAATCATGCCAGAATCAGGAAGCTATGAAGAACTTGTTTCAGAGGTCTGTGGGGTATTTAAATAAAGCTTTTCCCATTCTCAGTTCTTCCTTTTAGCATCACTCTCCAAGGACAAAACAAGTGGCACCATTTCCCACATTTTTAGCAATATTCTCTCACATTAATGGTTTTAAAAGTTATAAACCAGCTTCCCATAAAAGTCACTAAATTACTTTTTCCAGTAAAGAATTTCAAGGAACACTGACAAAAGTAATGCAGATATGGAATGTAAACTTTTGCAAGCAGTGTACGTACAGTGGACCTGTTAGACAATATATAAGTCTTAAAAACATGATTTGCAAACGCTGGCATAAGCTTCTCATGTGCTTGTGTCTCCTACTATCAAATTCAGCAAAGGATTGCTTGACAGTTTTCTCAGACAACTCCTTGCTCAGACTGTTGAAGCACTCTTTGGATTTAATATAGCACAGTGCTATCCTAACAAAGAGGTTAACAGTAGAAAAATCACCACACAAAAAGTACCACTACTGACTTTCCAATTGCTCTAGTATGTGCTTCCCAACAAGAGGTGCACAGCAGGCTCCAACACAGTCCTACCTCTGGGAAGCATTTAACTTGCTTTTGTTTCCTCTCTCATCCCATGTAAAAGGGACTGCAGAGCTCTACAATCAATCAGACATTTGGCCAAAGCTTTCTATAAATGATCAAGTCTTGTGTCCCAGCTTATTTATATCATATTCCATACTTACTTTTTCCATCACATGCTACAATTTTCACTTTATCCACTTTCACAAGTTCAGTGACCTCCCTAAATTCAACGTCATTCAGTACAAATGTCCACACGTTGTCACAGAACCTGTATGTATTCAGAGACCCCTTAAAAAGACAAGAGATATTTTCTGTAGGACACACCCCAAAAGCAACAGAAAATATATTAAGTATCTACTGAATTATGTCCCTTCTAGAACTAGATTTGCCATAAAGCCCCCAGTGAACCTGAATGCAGACAACAATTCTGAGGGAAACTGCAGCTTAAATGCCCTCCAGTGGCTGAACTTTTCAAGACCATGACAGTCTACCCAAGGGGAAGCTGCACAGGGAGGCCAAGAAGTTTTACAACCTTTCTAATGTGCATAAAGCATAAGTATCAGAAAAGATTTCTTAAAACACTGGGCCATAAGAAAAATAACTTACAGCAGTGATCTTAGCAAGATGTGAATTCTGCAGTTGTTGAAATAAAGCACTAGTTTAGATAAATCATGACAAAACTGCCCTGTGTGACATAAAGGGGTTCACTCATGTTTGATGTATTACTGAGGATGTCTGTATGTGAACATTTTGGCTTTCACCTTCACACAGTTTAAACTGATACCCTTGAACTGAAGCTCCAATTAACATTTAGTTTATCCACTAAACACGATCTGAACAGTTTTCCATACACGTTACATACACAGAACAAGTGAAATGTGTCAGAGAAAAGAAATTATGCTACTTTTAACATATCCATATTGCTTAAAAATTTAACATCTTAAGAGCTCACTTCATTAATGTGTTCTACACAGACTACAGAGGAAGTTAACAGGAAGCTGGTTTTTGTGTTGTTTTGTTTTTTTTCCTCAGAATTACCTTCAAGCTGACATTTAACAACTTGCTGCTGTTTCATATTAATTAGGGTAGCTGACTGGGAAAAACCCTCAAATTTGTTTTTCTATGATACCTACAGAAAAGAGCTACAAAATGATCCAGTGAAAAGGTGGATCTAAAACCCTCTTCATGTTACAGATGTGGCTGAAAATCTGTCCTCATCCCACTTCTGCTAAGTACAGCTAAAAGAAGCAAAGTCTCCCCCCTAATCTGCAAGACACTGAGGGTGGCAATGCTGTCCATCAAAGCATTGCCCTCTTCCCTGTTTTCATCCACCCACCAATATTTCTGCTTTTTGCATTCTTTCAAAAGATCCTTGGCAGAATAAGGGAACAAGCCTCACAACTGCATGGGGAATACACATGTAAACAGTCATTATTTCAGCATCAAAATGGACCTGCTGAAGTTTTTGCTAGGAGGACACAGCTTTTAATGACATTCTGCATCAATACTTAGTTACTGTATCTCAGGAGAAACTTTTATATGTGATTATCTTACCCTGAAATTCACTCTGTTCCTGACTCGTTGTGCCAGAGCCGAATTTATAGCTTTATCAAACTGAAGTAGCACCTGAAGGGCCAACTGAGGTGTGATTTGCTGAGACTAAAGTAGTTTCAAAAAAAAAAAAGAAAAGTTTTGAGTTGTTTCAAAGCAAACTCAAACATGCAGTAAAAGTTAAAAAACATCAAAACAAAGTCATGAAGTTCACGTGATGTAGATCTCTAGAGAAACAATTTTAAAAAATACTACATTCCTGTGTTTATTTCCTTCTTTGTATTTCAATTCTAAGAGAAGAAATTATGTGCTATGATGATTTTTTGTGCTACACAAAAATTTCTTCTAATAAATATTCACTGGAAATAAACAGAAGTGCCGTAAATTGATTACAATGTTCCAGCTTAATCTGGCTGTTCATTTACTGGCCACACAACAGGAGATCATGCCATTCACATAAGACATTCTCCTTCATCCAGGACATAAAGAAAAACCATGTCAAGTGAATGGAGGACAAAAGGCTTTTGATTTCAATCCGTAAGTTTTCCAAGCCTTGGCCATAAATGCCCCAATTTACAGCAACTACAGAACCGTTTTAATGACTAACCCCTGTTTGTATTGAGCTGATCCCCATCCCACACACCTGTATGAGCTTGTCTAGGCTCCCCTGAGCTGATCCCACACACCCCACACACCTGTATGAGCTCGTCCAGGCTCCCCTGAGCTGATCCCACACACCCCACACACCTGCATGAGCTCGTCCAGGCTCCCCTGAGCTGATCCCACACACCCCACACACCTGTATGAGCTCGTCCAGGCTCCCCTGAGCTGATCCCACACACCCCACACACCTGTATGAGCTCGTCCAGGCTCCCCTGAGCTGATCCCACACACCCCACACACCTGTATGAGCTCGTCCAGGCTCTCCTGGAGGCTGTTGCCCAGCGTGGTGTTCCT